CCCCAAAACCCCAAAACCCCAAAACCCCAAAACCCCTGGAATTATAAAAAAAATTGAAAATAAAATTCCTTATTCCATCATGAACAGGTTTCATAGAAAAAGACAAGCAGTAATCCAACAGATACCTCAAGGTAATGTAATTATATAATCTAAATTCAAATCTGGTAATAATAAAATCTGGATCCAACTAGAGTTCTCATTAATTTATAGGATGAATCATAGGCTCCCTCGATGACTTAGGCCTTTCTAATATAAACCATATCTCGGAGATCAGTTCTGTTAGCGAAAAACAACTTCCTTGGGACCAAAATCAGGAGAATATCAGCCCTGAATCTCAAAATTCCAACAAAAATCTCGTACCCGAAAAAGTCAGTAAGCAAATTAAGAAGATCAGCAAGATCAGGTTCTTGCCTTCTAACACTCAGGATAAGATTATCGCTTCGAAGAATAGAGCAAGACTATCGAGCTATAACGTGCAAACTAACAAAATCACCAATGAGTTTTGCTCCAAAGGAGAAAAACTCAAGGATTATTGTACCTCAATGAAGGCTTCTTTTTAATAATATCAAGGTAATTTCACCAAAAGTTCAGAGTAACCAGAGGAACAAGGCCTGGAACCTTTCCAGATGTTGCAACTTTACTAAAGACTCTGACATCTTTCAATCTGGGGAGGTTTTGACCTCCTCCTTAGAAGAGATGAGGTCCTTAAGGCCGATTGATAAAGTCTATGATCTGAAAACTTCCTTGACCAAAAAGCTTAGGAAGAATAAGTGAAAGCTAAGAAATCCCAGTATTGCTAATTACCCTAAACCCTTGAAGAAGAATCGTTGAAGCAGGAGATTAAAGAAATCAGTAGCAGGATTCAGTCCTGCTGAATCCTGCCATACCGCCATTAAGGTTTCTCAAACACTTAGAGAAAGAAGTAAGGAAAGAAGTAATAGCTCCACTAGAGCTTATCTTGTAGCTTCACATCCTAAGAAATTTGGGGATCAAATTTCACAAATTAAGATAAAGAAGAGAACTATTTCTAATGTTGGATTATGCAAAAGTAAGCTTCCTCATCTTTAGATCAGCAATTATCTTGCAAAGATTATAAAATATTCTACCTAAAATCCTAGAATGATCTTAAAATTTGCATAGAAAAGCCCAGACACTTGAAGCCAAAAAAAAAGAGGGAGGTTTTCCTTACCATCAGGCTTAAAGGATCAGAGACTAAACCTCGGAAAAAGAAGAAGTTGAACCCATCCAAACTATCTTCAATTATAAATTAATTTTTCAATTTATAAAAAGGATCAAGGGGTTTTGGGGTTTTGGGGTTTTGGGGTTTTGGGG